GGGGGGTTTCATTTTGGTCTCAAAGATCAAGCAAGTCAAGGAGCTTAAAATAAGCTGACAACTCTGCCAAGTTCTTTTCCAAGGAAGACATTACCATCATTCTAGTCAGCCTAGTCATAAAGCTTTACCTTGGGACAACGAGAGAAAACACTAGCTCTATGCCATTTTAACCTTTTTCCTTTTATAATTTCACTAGTAGCTAGATTCTCATCCTGATCCCCCACCCCTTCTCTTCATGATTTGCAGTGGGTTACAAACTACTCTAGCCAAAGCAAACCCACTGGCATCAAGACAATTCTGGCTCATGATAACCTTACACAGAGTTTCAAAGGCTGTAAATTTTGATGGGAGCAAGCAACCTCATCTTTTCTCCAAGGAATGGTTCATGAGTTTGAACTACCCATCTTGCAGTTAGCAGTCCAACATTTATCTGACAGTGCCCTACCACTCGGGCTCCTTGAACTGTTCTAAGCTGCCTATAAATTACTTAAATTGGTACATGACAGCTCTTATAGGTTGACAGTTTAACTTGACTGGTGCAACATTAAATGTTATATTATATTAATAATACATATAAGTAGTATAAAACAATAAACATATAAACTTTACAACCTGTAAAGGAAAAAAATCCAAGTTTAAATTCTATGCATGTCTTACTAAGAACACACGTAGTACCTGAGGAACATTCACACTCAAAATCGGATGAGCCTCAAGAACGACGTAGTGAACTTTCTCCAAGAGGACACGAAGAATTAAAGTCCCGATTTCCAGTGTCTAGATGTTTTTAACCAGCTTGATGGTGAGCCACCACCTGTCTGTCAGTGGAGATGGGTGTGTGGCTGTGATGCTGATGAGCAGCACAGCTTCCAGATTAGGAAGGACTAGGAAGAAAGGCTGGCAATCTACTTCTGAAAATCAGAACATGCAACTCCTAGGAATCACGCGGTCCAATCACACTGTGCATGCATGGGGTTCCCATGAGTCAGAAGCCTACTGAATGGCAGCCAACAACAATTCCAAACAATAATTTGCATATCATTTTGTTTCGGAAAATCAAACATTATGACTTTAAGAACAGATGTTTAGACCAAGGGTGGAAAATACGCACTGGATTTCAAAGATTGTGGGGGTGAGGAAAGACTATAAGAGATCTCATCTTTTAATAGTATTTAAAAAATCATAATGTATTGGTTATGTTGAATGAAGCAAACAAAAAACATTAAAATGAATTTCACCCGTTTCTTTTTAATGTGGTTGCTAGAAAGAAAGAAAAAAAGCCTTAGCTCTCATTATTCCTTCTGGTCTCAGCTGTCTAGGCTGGGACGTTAAGCTAGTAAATATGCTTTTAATCTTGCAGTACATCCCTGACAGGCGTCCACCCTGGGTCATCCTCCTGCTATCCCCAGAGACACGGCTCACTCTAATGCTGCCCACCGGCACGACCTGGAAACCCGGGCGACTGACCGTGCGCACGTTTCAAAAGAGCCCCCAACACGTCCAAGAGACATCTCGGAATCGCTGCCCCTCAGTCTCCACCCGTGACCGTCTCTGCTCCCACGGGGGGCCGCAAGGCTGAGCACAGAGTGGCCCGCCGGGCAAAGCGAGCGGGGCTGAAGAAACCCCACGGAGCCTTGGGAATAAAAGCCTCCCGCGCTACCACGGAAGGACTTTGAGGGCGGCAGGACGGGGCGGGGCTCCGGGGCACAGGCGCTACCTTCAGAAGGCCCCTCATTTTCGCCAGGAAGGGGCGGAACTCCTCGGGAGGGACGTCCGGGTAGAGCTGGCTCCGCAGCAGCTCCTCCGTGATGCCCGGGTGCCCGTGGAAGGCGTCCTGGGCCAGGCCGTTGAGCAGCCCGCTCAGGGCCTTGGCTCCCTCAAGCTCGCCCGCCATGGTCTGCGGGCCCCGCCCACCAGGCGGCGGAGCGCGTCCCGGTCACGGCGGCCGAGACGGGTCTAAATGGTGCGGGCAAACGCGCTCCAACCGCGTGGGAGTCTGCGGACCCCCGGCTGCAGCTGCCCGCCGAGAGAGAGAGCCCGCGTGGCGTGAGGGTTCCCATCGGGCTGCTGCCTGCCAGCTGTCTGTGGAAGAACGACGTTCTCCACGGGTAAAGGAGCACAGCCTTGCAAGCCCACGGGGCACCCAGAGTCGCTTGAGTCAGAATCGACTCGGGGACAGTGAGTTGGCTTTGGTTTTCAGTACATTGCCGCCACGAAGTTCCCCGTTCAATTCAGAAAGAGATGGTTTGGCTTTCGCTGGTCTCCTTCTTCATCCCAGGTCCTGCACAAAGGAAAGATCACTCGATGGAGATAAGCGAGAGGGTGGCATAAGGGTGGCAATTCATCTCATTCCTAACGTTCCCACCCCATTGATTAAATAAGACCTGTCACTCAGGCCCAGATCCAACCCCTGCCCCTTTGCCAATTGTTACCTGGCCACCCTTTCTCCAGATTTATCCGCTGAGAATTACAATGTTTGTCTTGTCTTTCCAACCAGATCAGTAGCTCGTACCCAAAGTTCCTTTCCTATAACAGATTTTGTAACGCCTTCTCTTTTTACTCTTCTTTTTAACAAAATGCATAGATAATATTACCACCCTCCATACAAGGGGTTATCAAAGTTCATGGAAAAATGGAGTTGAAAGATAAAAACGTAAATTTTTTTGCCACCATGAAGTTCCATCAAATCCAAGACACTTGTAAAAGATACTAGTCGTTTAGACCACTGAGGGTTCTGGGAACTTAACTATGTCAATGAAGTCTGTTAAATTATTAATTGAAGAAAAGCAGATGCCCTTTAAATATTTTTTTAAATTAGGAAACAAAAAGATATTAGAGATCAGAGTTGTACGAGCCCCCAATAAAATGATTTGTTTTTTTAAATTACAAAATAATCATTATAAATTATCAAGGGCTTGGGAGGGAGGGAGGGTTGGGGGAGGAAGGGGGGAAATGAGGAGCTAATACCAAGGGTTCAAACAGAAAGAAAATATTTTGAGAATGATGGCAACAAATGTACAAATGTGCTTGACACAATGTATGTATTGTGATAAGAGCTCTACCAGGACTAACACAGCCCCCAATAAAATGACTTTTTTTAAAAAAGAGATATTACAAGGAACTAGTTCAGGGCTGTAAAGTAAATGCCTAATGATTGCCCATTGCAACGATCACAGAATTGCCCTTTTGATCAGAAGAACGGGCAGAGCGCCGTCAGGGTAGCAACGGACTCAGGTGAGTTCCCGGGTGTTTTTCTGCTAAGGCTTTGGCTACCTCCCACAAAACACTATCACAGTAAACAAGTGCCAATGTTCTTCGGTCATCCAGAAAGTCAATGAGCAAAATGACTGAGCATCCCCCCAAATTGTTGCCATGAATTGTGTTGGCTGGTTTGAAGAGGCCCCCTCCTTCTCTTGGCAGCCGTTGCTTTGATTGTGGTTTGTTTTCAGCGGGCACTGGTAAAGCAATATTCCCTTCCTGTGGGACTTCTCCCAAGAAATGCTTCAGGCTATCTACGCCATTACGGAGTTAGGATTTCGGAAACCCATGGTGGCAGGTCTACTCTGTCACACAGGATGGTGACTGTGAGTCAAGCCAACTCAGGGGCATATGACAGCTGGCCTGGAGAAGCTGAGAACGGAAGCTCCACGAGAACGTGAACGATGAGTTGGAACTGAAATGAGTTTGGTTTCTTGAGTTTGAAGTAGGTCCCTGAACCCCCTCATTTGCCATGGGCACTCACTAAGAACTCTGTCTCAGTACCCCTGTTATTTCCACTTAATCTTCGAAATAGCTGATTCTTTTAGACGCAAGGAAAAATGCAAAAAAAAATTCCATTATTTAATTATCACTTAACTTTGTGTAACACCTAGATAAATCACACCTGCTCTCCAGGCACTTTCCACCAGGGTAACCAAGCAACAACAACCAAAAAAAGTTCATGCCTGTGCCACCAGAGGCCGCTATTTGACAATGCAACCGTTAAATACGGTTGGCAGGAGCCACATTTTTTGAATGCCTTTCAAACAAAAGGATCAAAGTACAGAGCTTTATTTATAAAATTTCAAAGCAGCAACTGTTTCGAAATCGGGGCACGGGCCTTGAAGAGAATGGTGTAAGGCTCCACAACCAGCAAAGACGCCTGAAGTCCTGATTCAGAAGGAAAAGAAAGCGCCACACCAGCCGCTCTCCTCGTAAACATTTCCTTTCATTGCGGCCAACAGCTTTCCATCCTAAGTACTATTTGTTAAGTGAGGTTTTCCGTTTCTGAAAAAGACAACATTTTGAAACGGTAACCAAAATAAGGTATAAAGAGGGCCCAAAGTGTTTGCCCAGTTTTGCATAAAGCTCTTTCTGCTCCCCATCTCTGCTCTCATCTTTTTCAGTTCTCACTTGAGTGCTAGTCACTCTGCACTCGACCAGCCACCATTGAGCTCCAACAGTTACCAAAACATCCTGCATCTTGCTTCCTCTCTACCCCACTCACTTACTGCCTTCTTATTTTGAAACTACTGTTAGGTAGCCGAGACGGACTGGGGGTTGCCCCTCCCATGACTGCACAGATCCCCATAAAGGAGGCTGGGAAGAAAAATCAGGAGAGCATTGACCACCCATAAAGGCCTTAACTGGGTATGCTCCAATTCAGGGCCCGCCAAGCCAGATGGGCAATACACCTGGGCAGCCCAAACTAGGCCCAGGCTCATGACCGCACCAGGTGGGCTTAATTCAGCCAACGGGGTGGACCAATATCTTCCACCACGCCTCTCCAGCTGGAGGTTTAAAATACCAAGTCTCGGCCTCTTTTCCTCTTACTCCACATCTGTGCTCCTGTGTCACTCCCTCTCGGCTCGGGTCACTATGTATGCGCACACAGTCCCACTTGACAGCCCCAGCGCGGATTCTGCGTGATTTGGCTCACTTCCCTGAAATAGCGTGTACTCCTTTGAGACTTAAAACCTGAAACTTCTCCTGTCCTTTATTAAATTTATTAAAACCCACTTGGATTACAAACCAGGCCTCGGCATGAATTCTTTCTTGTGCAAAGCGGAGAACCGAGGTATTATCCACCCGAAAAAAATGAACAATATCAGTAGCTTAATATATCATTAAAGATCATCTAGTAACTAGTTCAACCTTTCCATTTTGTACATGAGAAATATGAGCCCTAGAAAACTTGACTTGTCCAAGACCACAGTTAATAAGTAGCAGAGCTGGAAAACAAATCCAGAACTAGAGGCCCTCAAATGAATGCTATTTTCAGCATTAGACATTTGTTCCCATCACACTACATCAGTTGTCTAAACAAAACGAGTATTTATGTGCTTCATGGAGGTAATTTAAGGAGCTTTCCTTGTGCAAAGTACTTGGCTATTAAGAAAAAGGTCTGCAGTTGAAACCCACCTGCCCCTCCTAGAGAAAAGTTCCTCTGTCCCAACAGGGTTACGATGAGTCAGAATTGACTTGATGTCAATGACTCTGTGTGTGTGTGTGTGTGTGTGTGTGTGTGTGTGTGTGTGTGTGTGTGTGTGTGTGAAATCTGGTCCTGATTACCTCAGGTTTATGTACACCTAGCAAGTGTCATTCTCCAGTATTTTTATCCTGAAAGCAGTATCGAAGCAGTTCATGTATTTTGAATAAACCTACTGCAAGTCTCCCGGTAGTTATGGGCACTCAATAATTATTTATAAGCAAATGTTTAATGAATTTCTCTTGCATCAACATCCATAGTCACTGATGAGGAGGCAATATAGTAGTATAGGAACCTAGTAGTTTGGACCATCGCCTGTGAAGTTAATGAATTCAGCATTCAAACACTGCTTCCAGCTACTCAGAGCTTTACCTTGAGCTTCATCTACTTCAATTTCCTCATCTGCTAAGAACAGCAGCGCCTGTCTCATAGGATTGTGAGGATTAAAGGAGCCCTGAGGTTTTAGTGGCTTAAGCATTGGGCTATTACTACAAGGTTCAAACCCCCAAGAGCGCCTGAAGGAGAAACATTTGGCTTTCTGTCCCTGTAAGGCAGTGGTTCTCAACCTTCCTAATGCCTCCACCCTTTCATACAGTTCCTCATGTTGTGGTGACCCCCAACCATAAAATTATTGTCATGCTACTTCATCACTGTAATTTTGCTACTGTTATGAATTGTAAAGTAACTATCTGATAGGCAGGATGTATTTTCATTGTTACAAATTGAACATAAAGCAGTGATTAATCACAAAAACTATGTAATTATATATTGTGAAATATTTATTTCTAATGACAAATGTGTTTTCCGTTGGTCTTTCGACCCCCAAAGGGGTCACGACTCACAGGTTGTGAACCGCTGAGGATTTCCGTGTGGGGATACCCTACTTAGGACTCCACGGCAGTGGGCTTAGTTTTTAATTTTTGTTTTGGGTGAGGAGTTAATGGGAGAAAGACTCAGCGTTGTTCCCGGTACATAATCGTTGTCGTTATAAAGAATCTGTGGGAGCCAATGGCTTTATCATGTAGAAAATATTGCATTTTCCCTCCTCCAGGACTGCGCTCCTGGGGCTGCCCCTGGCGCTGCTGGTGTGCTGGTTCGGTGCGGACCTGGCGCCTCTTTTTGAAGCGGCCGCTCAGGACAGGATCGAGACTGAGCAGGGCGACGTGTGGGTCTGAAGGTGGCGGGGTGGTTCTGCGGTGCAGTTTAAGAGTAAGGCGTACGCTACTCAGTAACGACTGAAAGCCGATTGTGAACCACAGGGTTCGTCCACGGAGCAGATCACATTCGGATTGGACGGACAGCCAACCCAGGAAGCAGATACACCTGCGCCTCTGGAAATGGAGCTGAAGAGAGCCCGTGGTTCCAGCGCAGAGACGGGAGGCGTCTTCCAAAAGGGAGCCGCTCTCTCCTCCAGAACTCCGTTCCGACCGACCAAGACTCCATTCTCCATCGGAAGCCACATCGGTCCCACCACATCCTGACGACTACGCATAGTCTCCTCTATTCTTTCATTGCCTCTTCCCATTCCCTGCCTGTGCATAAAGTAACTGGCGTTTGTGCACATGCATACTGCATTTCCCCCTTTGTTTATTTTGCTTTTTAATTAAATGGCCACTGGTATGTTCTGATCGACATCAAGTGGAGATGGGCTGGGGAAATACTCGTACTGTGAAACACCCGCTTCTCCCTCAGTGGCAGGCTCATTCAGCAATTTATATTCCAGCGAGTTATTTTGCTCGCTGTTTAACAACCACAAGGACAAGACTTAAAAATCGTTGCATACCTTATTCGATTGGAGAATTTTTAATGTTTTCATTTATCATTGCAAAACCAAGGACAATTTTATAACTTTTTTTGCACGTAGCTCTTACATGTAGGGCAATCTGTCTTTAAGCAGGAGCCAATTACTCTCAAAGAAATGAAGCCTAGATAGTTTTCCCTTTAAATCAAGCGTCTTGTTGTTACAATCCACTCGTTAAAAAATTTTAGGAAGAAACTATTGCAATGAGTGGTTGGAATTTTCTACTACTAGAGGCAGTAGCTCTCCCGTATTTAACCAATATATTTAAACCTCTATCATTTAGCATCAAACAATATAAGACACACAGACAAAGCATCCGATCAAGCCCAATCTCTCACCGTCCATCCCTTCCAAAATAAATAACTCAGGACTACACAGCCCAGCAGTACCCGGCACGGTGACGCCTACGCTGCCAGGAGCTGCCTGAGGGGTCCTCAGGCCGAGGAGGGTGGAGTTGGAAGAAGTGCGTGTCCCCCAACAACCGCCTTTAAAATAATGGATTATCTTTTTTTAAATCATTTTGTTTAATTAGGCCGCCCATCGCATTCCTTGTCCTCAGTGCCCACCACTAACACCCCCAAAAGTAGAGCTCCCAGCGTGTAGTAAATCGCCGGCGCGTGGCGGACAGCTTCTTACGTCACAGAAGCGCCGCGCTGCCACAAAGGCCCCCTCCACCGCCGGCGCCGCTTTCTGGAAGGTTCGTGAAGGTGGTGGGCGCGTTCCGTTACTTGGTGACCGGTGGGAATCCGTGTCCATCCGTCCTTCCCGATCCTTCACAGACTCAGCCAAGGTTGCCATGCCAGAGAACGTGGCCCCCCGGGGCGGGGCGCCCACCGGGGTGACCGGCGGTCGCGGGAAAGGAGCCTATCAGGACCGCGACAAACCGGCCCAGATCCGCTTCAGCAACATCTCCGCGGCCAAAGGTATCTTCCACCCGCGGCCCTGCGCAGTCTCACTTAGGGTCTGGCAGGCGGGGCTCGTGTTCTGAGCTTTCGAGTGATCACCACGTCTCTATAGAAAGTTCTTTCTGTTTGTCTCTATAATAGCCGACCTTCAGCATGGTGAGCCTTTGGGCCGGCCCCATTTTGCCTGGTTAGCCCATACGTTTTCCTCCTATGTTGTGCTTCATCCGTCGCGTTGAGACAGAAAATCGGTTTAGTCCAAAATGCAGAGGCCTGCGTGCGGCATCCCTCGGGAGCTGACAGCTTCGAGATCCCTGTACCAGCTTGCTGGATTCCCCGGCGGCAAGCTGTTTGCACAGCGTTTTTGCAGCCCTCTTATTGGGCGGGGCCCGCTGTACTGGGAGAGGGGCGAGCGGAGGCCGAGATTTTTTTTTTCGTGACCTTTAACCAGTCTGAATCCAGGGTTCTTTTTCACCTATAAAATTGAGGACAAAAATGTTTGCGTATTAGAATTGTTGTTACGAGACATCGAGCTGAGACACGGAGTGAGGAAGGAATTGGGATAACACGTCCCTGCCCGAGACGCATATTGAGAATTGTACTCTAATTACATCAGGGTTGGAGAATGAAGTGCTGGAGGAAGTGAGGAATGCGATTAGAAAGGTTAGCGGGGGTCAGACTGAATTGGCATCGATTCGATGGCAGAGTTTGGGTTGGGTTTGGTGTCTCTAATCAAAAGTGTTCGGCATAATCTCCCAGCTTCAGATCGTTCTTCAGTATAACGAGGTAAAAACCAGCTTTTAAAAAGGTTGCTTTGAGAAAAGTCATAAACTACGTAGAGTCGTGCCGACGGTTCCTATGTTAAATTATGGACCACAAACCCAAAGGGCGGTGCTTCAGACCCATCTGGGGGTTCTTGTTAGGCCAGGTCATCTGCTTCCAAAACCACAGTCTTAAAGCCTTATTTGAACAGTTGTACTTTGCACACAAAGGATTGAGTCGGAATCATTGCAAAAACAAGATGCAGAAAGTATTTGAAGTCATCAGCCCGGTGACAGGGAACATAATGATGCTAAAGGAATTAGTGCGTGAAGATCCTCTGTGCCCGTCTAGGCAGGTTGAGTTGGAGATGGCAGGTGGGTAGATGAAGGTATCACTTGAGAGGTCGATTAAAAATATGGTGATGGATATTTGGTACATACTTGTCTAGAGAGCAAAGTTGCAACCCTGAGATTGAATTCTTTAGATTAGAAAGAAGTGGTGGAAACAGCCATGCAACCCTCACTTATCAGACCTTTGTAACTGGATGTGCCATCTTAGTACTTTTGTTTTTCCCATTTTAATACTTTGGGGAAGATTAAGTAAATTCTCATTTTGCTTTACTATAGGCAGAGGACAAGTACTGAGTTGAGTATAGTGACTTTAAAAACAAAGTGAAGCATTACTTATTTATAAAAGAATATGATTGTAATGTTTTCTTTCCAGTGGATAGTAGACAGTTTTTCTTTAGTGGACACAGCTTTTATAAAGGCACCCTGGTGGCCTGGTTATCCATTCAAACTCATCATAATCTGTTAAGACAAGTTGATCACTGAGAGGAGAAATGCTATTGAAAGAGACATGATTTTTTTTTCTATCCCCCCTTCTGTTGACAGCTGTGGCTGATGCTATTAGAACAAGTCTTGGACCAAAAGGAATGGATAAAATGGTAAAAAGCTGAATCAGTACTTATATCTGTATTACAAGATCTTGATAAGATGTGCTGTTTAAAAGTAAAAAGTTTAAGTACCTTGAGTTTTGAAGTGAGAGACTGCTTTAGTGGTAGGCTTATCTTAACTTTAACTAATAATTTAATACAAATGAATATAGAAAAGCCGTTATTTGTTATGTAGTTAAAGGGGACAGTACTTAGATAAAGCTGTGTGTCGGGGTTTGAGTTCTTTGTTCTTTATTAACACAGTTCTGTGGCCTGACCATAGAACTTCAACTTCCTGTGGCAGAGTGGTTGTGTGTTCGGCTGCTAACGACATGGTCAGCAGTTTGAAACCACCAAGCTGCTCCTTGGGAGAAAGATGAGGCTTTCTATTCCTGTAAAGAGTTATAGTCTCAGAAATTCTACTGTGTCGTAAATTGACTTGATGGCAATCGGTATAAGATTGGGTGTAGCTTAGTTCTCTGGCAATGTAAAACAGATGCATTCTAGTAATGTTTGAGTAACATTTTGCCCAATTAACACCTAAAACAAAAGTAGCGATGTAGAGGATTGTCTGGAAGGCATGCAGAACAACCTTCCTCTGTTGAGAACACTAAGGAAAAGTTACCCTGTTGACTAAGGACATAATAAGACTTGTTCTCACCACATTACGTAGTGTTGTTCTTCTGGAGATACATGGGACTTCTGCTTACTACTATGAAACCAAGAAAGATAGTGAATCTTTATAGTGTACCCTTTGGTGTGTGTGTTTTTTTTTTAATAACAGATTGCTTCACTTTGAAATACACTAAGACAAAATCCAGCTATTTCATTTGTAAAACTGGGCTCTTAATTATACTGATGTAAGGAAAGAGACTTTGACATTAAACACTGTTCAAATATAATTTCTCTGTTGAGTGTTAAGACCTAGTATAGCTTTTTGGATGTCACAATGCTGAATTAAAAACCTTAAAGCTTTTGAAATATAACTTAAAAACTCTCAACTGTCTAGATTCAAGATGGGAAAGGTGATGTGACTATTACAAATGATGGTGCCACCATTCTGAAACAAATGCAAGTGTTACATCCAGCAGCTAGAATGGTAGGTATAATTTTTAAAAAGGTTTTTAAAGTATTGTGTAATATTTGGTAAGCAATTAAGTTTTTTACTTAATGTTTTTAAAAAGAGTAAAAATCATCATGATCATTCTTGTCACATGAGAAGGCGTGTTAGCAAAAATAAATGCCATAAGAGACCAGTTATCAGACATCAAAGAACTAAAAATCAGATCAGTGGGTGCCCACCTTCCTGACACGATCACAGAAAACAAAGTTGTGCATAAGCAAAGGTGGTGAAGAAAGCTGATGGTGCCTGGCTATCAAAAGATATAGCGTCTGGGGTCTTAAAGGCTGGAAGATAAACAAGCGGCCAACTAGCTCAGAAGCAACAAAGCCCACATGGAAGAAGCACACCAGTATGTGTAACCACGAGCTGTCGAAGGGATCGGGTGGGTGTCAGGCATCAAGGAACAAGATATCTTGTCATTGTAAAGGTGGGTGAGTGCAGAGTGGAGACTCAGGATAGATAGCTCCATCAAGATCAGTGGTGAGAGGGGCGAGGCCTGGAGGGTGAAGGGGATGTGGGGTAGAAGGGGGGAACCAATTACAAGAGTCTAGGTATAGCCTCTCTGGGGGATGGACAGCAGAGAAGAGGTCAGAGGGAGACATCAGACGTGTAAATTATGACAAAACTATAATAATTTATGAATCATGAAGGGTTCAGGAGGGAGGGAGGGGGGAAATGAGCAAATGATATTGACGGCTAAAGTAGAGGGCAAATGTTTTGAGATTGATGAGGGCAACAGGTGTACATATGTGCTTGACTCAATGAATGTGTGTGGACTGTGATAAGAATTGTACGAGCCCTCAATTTTTAAAAAAAAGAATAATGAGGGTAACAAATGTACAAATGTACTTTATACAATTGATGTATGTATGGATTGTGATGAGTTGTATGAGCCCCCAATAAAATGACTTAAAAATGCCATAAAAGTTCTTATTTGGCAAGATATGACAAAATAGCAATTTATAAACTATCAAGGGCTCATGAGGGAGGGGGGCAGGAGGGGAAAAATGAGGACCTAATGCCGGGGGTTTAAGTGGAGAGAAAATGTTTTGAGAATGATGAGGGCAATGAATGTACAAATGCGCTTTACACAATTGATGTGTGTATGGATTGTGATGAGTTGTATGAGCCCCTAATAAAATGATTTTTTTTTAAAGGTTCTTATTTGAAGATGCCCCTTTTAAGTAAAGATTATTTCTAAAATCAATCGTGTTGTATTCATACAATGTTCAGATAAACGACTAAGAACTAATATTCTAGCCTCATCTATAATGCCCCATTTTATAAGCTTCCATCGTCCAGGATACCCCACTGTATAAGTCTTCTAGATGTACCAGTGGTACAAGAACATTTGCTTTCTGCGAGGGATATTTTGGTTAGCTGAAAAATAATTCACACTCTATTTTAGTATAGACTCTTGCAGAAAAAATACGTAAGTAGAATTGTGTATGGCACAACTGCCCTGGTCTTCATTTTAAACCTGGTCTGTAAATCAGAAGTAATTGACTCTTCAGTGGTTGGTAGTCTAATTCTGTTTGGCAGTTATGGGGTGCCATTGATTTGATAGTAGAATTATATTGGATACATTTCTCATTGGGTAACTGGGCATGTTTTTTTTTTGCTTAGCTGGTGGAATTGTCTAAGGCTCAAGATATAGAAGCAGGAGATGGTACCACATCAGTGGTCATCATTGCTGGTTCTCTCTTGGATTCCTGCACCAAGCTGCTTCAGAAAGGTCAGTTGAACATAGGTCATGCTTTATTACTAAACAAGAACAAACAGTTAAAGAGGGGGGGTTCTAAGGAATCTCACTACCATCAAGTCAGTGCTGACTCATAGTGATTATAGGACTGGGTAGAACTGTCCCTGTTAGTCTCCAAGACTAATTCTTTATGGGAGTAGAAAACCCCATTTTCTCTTAAGGAGCATCTGCTGGTTGTAAATTCTTGACCTTGTAGATTGAAGACCAACCCTGTAACCATTACATAACCAGAGCTCCTTTTTAAAGGAATAGGCAAATTATTCTCAATAAAAATTTTATAATTCATTTCAAATAAGTAATCTTGTACAGACAGTTTTTTAGTTAAATTAGGAATTGGTGGTTCTGATGGGTAAGCATTGGACTGCGCACCACAGGGACGGCAGTTTAAACCCACCAGCTGCTCTTTAGGAAAAGAGGAGGCTCTCTGCTCCAGTAAAGGTTTGCAGCATGGAAAACCCCATCTTGGGTTGCTGTGAGTTGGGATTGACTCAGTGGTAGTGGAGTATCTATAGTGATTTAAAAGAGCTTACCCTTTTGATTTGTCAGGCTTCTGTTAAAATGCAACGTAGCTGTAAGTGTGAATGGTGATTTAGAAGAGAAAATAGATTACTCATTTTGGTAAATAGTACAGATGGCATCAATCCCTGCTTTCTACTCACATAGATTTATGATATTTTGAAAAGTACAGTATTTGGTTTTAATTTTAAAGGGTCCTATAAGTGTAATTGGCTTGTTCCAAGACAAATGGAAAGAGTATTACTAATAACTTTAATTAGTATTATGTCTAATCAAATTTAAAGCTAGACCATAAATGAATTTTGGGTTTAGAATGAATATTTATGACTTCTGAAATTTCCTGAATAGAAATTTAAGGCATGCCAAATATGTAACATAATGGAGTAATTACTTTCATTTTCTAGGGATCCATCCAACTATCATTTCTGAGTCATTCCAGAAGGCTTTGGAAAAGGGCATTGAAGTCTTGACTGATATGTCTCGACCCGTGGAACTGAGTGACAGAGAAACTCTGTTAAACAGTGCGGCCACTTCATTAAATTCAAAGGTGAGAGAAGCATCATTGTCAAATTACAATTTTAGGTACATTAAGAATGGAATTTCTTAAACTGTCATTCTTGATGCTGTAGAACGTGTAAATACCATTTCTGGAAAATGGCTAGGAAATCAAGTAATTTATATAACTGAATTTGTTTGAGATTTTAAGATGGCATATTGCTATAAGGCAAACAACAAAGAAATTGATATTGATAAAGCTGGGGTCATTACCATCCTTTAAGTTACCTATTGGAAACCTTTCAAAGATGATCATAGAATTCCTGGTGATGTGCCTAATTTTAGACTTTCAAATTAGTAGTAGTATTTCCATCTTACAAGGGGGGAAACTGGTTTTAAAAAGTTAACTAACTTTTTAAAAGCTACTCCGAGACCCAATAATGAGCTGAAGCTGGTATCTGAACCCAGGAAAGGACAATCCATCTCTTAAATTATCTGTACTGTTACTGTTATCAAATGAGCAGTGGTATACTTTCATGTTTCTTAAGAACTTGTATTGCCTTGTATTTTCTCTCGTGTCAGGCATTACCCCTAATGCTTTTTTCATTAAGTGTTAAGTATAGCAAGATAGTGTATATGAAGTGTTGGGTCTACTTCCTGCCCAGCATATAACAGTGTGTAATAAATATTAGCCATCAGCTGTGAGAGAGCTTCAAAGAGCTTGTGGGAAAATTCTATTTCCGTTTATTGTTTAAACCCCCTTGTTATTTTTTTACCAGCATCAGTATTAAGGATGCACATAGAGCATTAATACCTTGTCATTACCTTGATTTTAGGCTGGACCTCAGTTTAAAATTAGTAGTTTAAATGGATATCCATTAACACATGGTTGTCAAAATAGTAAATGCTACTTTCTTAAAGAGGAAAGCAAGTATACTTCCTCTCACCTCTCATGACTCATAGACTGAGTGGAGTAGACTCACCCACCAAGTGGCTATGATTGCTCCTTGAATATTCCTAACATTAACTTGATTAATCTTTTTATTATTAATAATTCCAGGTTGTATCTCAGTATTCAAGCCTACTCTCTCCCATGAGTGTAAATGCAGTGATGAGAGTGATTGACCCAGCCACAGCTACTAGTGTAGATCTCAGAGATATTAAAATAGTTAAGAAACTTGGGTAAGCATCTCTCATTAAACTTTCATTAATACAAACTGATTTTAAGAGTAAACATTGCAGTACTTTTTATTCGATTGGTGCTTTTTGATCTGTTAACAATCTTTTAAACCCAGAACTTCCAATTAACTATCCCTTTTTCTTTTTCAGTGGGACAATTGATGATTGTGAGTTAGTGGAAGGACTGGTTCTCACCCAAAAAGTGGCAAATTCTAGCATAACCAGAGTTGAAAAGGCTAAGATTGGGCTCATTCAATTTTGTTTATCCGCTCCAAAAACAGATGTAAGTAGAATCCAACTTAAATCTGCCCCTGTTTCTTGTTAGACTTTGTGATTAATAACTCATGAAACTGGAAAATGCTGATAATCATGTTAAACATAGAATTCAAAAGAATTTGTGAGATTGGTATAACGACAGAAATTGTTGGTTCCAAACATGACAAATCTGTAGCTTCAATTGGGTATTCGCTGACTTCTTTGGCAGAATAGAACAGCAATTTGAGATACGTATAAGTAATTTAAAAGATAAGTCTAAAAGTTGAGTACTGGTGGGATTTTCAAATTCGTACTGGCTCTCCAGGAGCAGAAACCTTCACTCTTCCTTCAGATCTTTTGTCCAGAATTTGTTACAAATGGAACTTTGAACTAATTTTATCTTCCTACTTGGAAGAAACTTCTGATGTAAGATATTCACGTCAGTCATTAGCATTTCTTTGAAAGGGGAGTCATCTGGTTGCCTCACCAGATTTGCTCTCCTTTCACATTGTGCTGGCGTGCCCAATCTGTAATTTAACCCATACAAACCTGAGTACTGCTTTGTGGGTCTTCTTCTGGCACCTGAGCATGTTGGGCTTTTTAATAAATAGGTCTTTATAAACAGAATATACCTTAAATTTCAGAGATACATCTATTCATGTAAAGTACATTGATGCATTCAGTAAATAGCATCATCGTCTCGATTCCCCAAATTACCTGAAACTGAAATAAGCTGGCAATGCATGTAGTTGAGAGAGACTTCCAATGCTGTTTGAGGAAGATGTCACTTTCTAGACCTTTGAAATTTTTATTTTAAAAGTTTTGTTAGGTCTATGTAATTTTTATACGTGTTTATATAAATTTGTGGGGTGTTGGCTGAATTTATGCATGTTTCCACTTGCCTTTATACTTTTAATATTGCAATTATTTTTACTTTAAACAGATGGATAATCAAATAGTAGTTTCTGACTATGCCCAGATGGACCGAGTGCTGCGAGAAGAACGAGCCTATATTCTTAATTTAGTGAAGCAAATTAAAAAAACTGGATGCAATGTTCTTCTTATACAGAAGTCTATTTTACGGTATGAGACTTGATACTTTGTTCACCCTTTGGTGATAAATTGATTTTGGAACACTTAGCAATTATTATTATAATATGTCATTTTATTTACAACTTTTTAAGATACATTTTTATTGGCTTGTCCATGAGAAATCTGGAAACCAATCTGCACTGGGCATCTTGGTATTCTAATAAATCCAAAGTGGCTTCTCTCCTAATTGTGTTTAAAGCTTTCTAGGTGACGGGCTTAAGTACCAAGTAACTGATGGGATTTTAGCCCTTTTTTTTGGCTTGTTTATTTTTAAACAAAGAACAATTTAACTTTCTGTTTAAAAATTTTATGCATGTTTTATTTCGTGACGTTATAATCTCAGTGTAGCAGCATTCCTTCCTGGGCTCCCTGTTTCCATTCGCCCATTTCTCCTTAATGCCTTTGTTTTTGGACAAGTGCAAACCCTTTGGTCTTTGAAGGTTGATTGTTCTGGCAAGAACATAGTATTATTCATGGGTGGTATTGTTCATTTAATCATGTCTATTTGACTGAACGGGAAGTCCAACAGACGCCATAAGGGCGTGAGTTCACTTAAAAGGTTTGAAGGTGAAGAGTGTGTCTAAAGACCATAGTCTTGGATTCCAGAGAGAGAGAGAGAGAGAGAGAGAGAGAGAGAGAGAGTGTGTGTGTGTGTGTGTGTGTGTGTGTGTGTGTGTTTATATCAGTTAACCTGGATGTCCATGGCAACTATTGTATTAAGCCCTCAATCCCAGTGACTTGTTCCCTGAAGGTATTTGGTTATGGCTAGGAAATTTGTGCTATGTGTGTATACATTTATTTGTAGCACATGCAAATATACATAAATACTCTTTGCCAAACCTATATATGCTCATGAATATAGTCCGATACCCCATCCTATACACTGTACTTACATATCTACATTACTAGTGTTACGCAGGGCTGTGTATGGAGTAGTATTTACCATTGTTGACTTTTATTCATCTCAGTGTCTTCCTTTATTGGTTGTGTTTTGCTAGCCTCCCCCTTTAGTGTATTACATTTCACTTCACCCCGTTAATACATATCTCCTGCCTAGTTGGTGGTTTTTCTCTGCCATCCCTGTTAATCATCAGATGAATGTTCCTTAGTGTAGGTAGCCCTTGTGTTGACTTTTTATAGTAGTAGTCTCCCCTTTGGTGATTCAGCATGATACCCTCCACAGTGCCATGTTGTGAGTTGTTCTGTGGATTTGTCAGTCTTTGTCATAGGCCAGGTAGGAGTTTGTGGGGTGTATATAACATAAGTTATCAATCCACTCATTGCTGGGTACTTCAGTTTTTCCATCGGTTTACTAATGTGAATACTTCTGTGGTGAACATGGGGGTGTGCATCTATTTATCGGTGCCATCACTTTCCTAGGATCTGTACCTAGTAGTGGGATTGCTGGATTGTATAGTATTTCTATGGTTCCTTGGTGGCATAGTGGTTACACGTTGCGCTGAAATGTACAGGGTCAGCAGTTTGAACCTACCAGCAGCTCTGAGGGAGAAAGACTGGGCTTTCGACTCCCGTCTACAGTTATTCTCAGAAACGCCCTGGGGTTCTCTGTAAGTCAGCATTGACTCAGTGGCAGTTGGGTTTCTTTGTTTTATAGTATCTCTATTTCTAATTTAAGGAAATGCCATACCATTTTAGAATCCACCTATAGTATCTGAGAGTTCCAATCTCTTCATACCCTCACAAACCTGTATTGTCCTTTTTTTTTTGGAGGGGGGGGTGTTGTTTTGTTTTTGATACATGTAATTACCAAGATGAAATGATGCCTCCTTTTGATTTGCTTCTCCTTCAGTGCTAACATTGTGAGCATCATAAGTATTTGTTGGCCACCTGATTGTCAACTGTAGTAGGTTCATGTTCCGTGCCCTTCTTTTAAATTGTTTCTGAAGCAAGTGGTGTTGAATTACTGTTTTCTGTGGTTTTTAGAGGTTCCTTGCCCAATAAGTCATCTCCATAATGTTTTCTCAGCCCATTGGTTCTTTTTTACTCTTTTGAAGAAGTTTTCTGGTTAATTTTTAAGAGGCTAACTTGTTTTTTTTAAAGCTAAATACCGTATATACTCGAGTATAAGCCGTTGTTTTGTTTTTTTCTTTTCCAGCACATTTTTGTGCTGTTTTTGTGGTAAAATTAGGTTCCTCAGCTGATATTTAGGTCAGCTTATACTTGAGAATATACAGTAAGTGTGATCTAAAATTGATTTGTTAACTATTCTTTGAGCTTAGAATTTCATCTTGGGGGAATTAGAAAAGTTCTTCAAAGTTTGAAGTGATCTTTTATTTCCTCCTTTAGTGTGTTATACTGGACACGTTTACTCCATTATATGGATAAATCAAAGCACTGCTAGCTACACTGGGGTTCACACATGCATGGTTTATTCGAAACAAGACACATTGAAATGTCACTGGGATCAGTGGATGGCTGCAATTTCTCAGTGATAACATGTCTTACTTAGTCTTGTTAAGAGTGCCTTCCCAAAAAGGTCCAATCAAAACTGGCTTCTGAGAAGATCTTCTGGGCCAATTAAAATCTGAAAGATCTGCTCAGAAAGTTGTGGTGACTGGTTTTGGCGATTCAAAAGGGGTAATCTTCATAGGTTTTCTTCAGAAGACACAGGATGATCACAGGTACTTATGAAAAAATTTTAAGGAAATTGAAAGCTACATTGTTATGAAGAACAGGAAAGTTGTTCCATGGGCAGCTTTTATTATGACAGTGCATCTGCTTGTTGTTCAAAGGTCACAGGGGCTGTCAGGTGAAAAGCTTAATGGAAAACCTTACCCCGCCCACTCTTCAACCCTGATCTTACTCCTTCAGGTGCCCTCACCTGCCCCCAACATGTCAGAGCAACATGTTTGACTTGAAGATGCCCAAACTGCTGTTTAGATGGGATGTAAAGAGTGCAGACTCCTTCAGGAAAAGTTTAGAGAGATGGAAAGTAGTTTCACATTTGGTGTTCTTATTTAATAAAGTATACGTTTTATTGTGTTCTTTAAAGATTTTTTTAAATGATGATATCTTGTTAATGTTCTGTAAACAGAACCTTTAGCTATTGCTTGCCTCTTAAAAATTTAGTAGCCATGGGAAAACATTTGAGCGGTTGTCAAACAAATAATGTGATTGGTTGACTACTTCAAAGATAATAAAATAGTTAAAAACAAAAACATTTTAGCCCAGCTTTGACATTTTCTTTTTGTGTTTTAGAGATGCTCTTAGTGATCTTGCATTACATTTTTTGAACAAGATGAAGATTATGGTGGTTAAAGATATTGAAAGAGACGACATTGAGTTCATCTGTAAGGTAATGAACATTAGAATCTACATGTGTGAGAATATTCATTAGTTAAATGTCTTAATTTGTGGGCTTGACTACTTTTTCCAGACAATTGGAACTAAGCCAGTTGCTCATATTGACCAGTTTACTGCTGACATGCTGGGTTCTGCTGAGCTAGCCGAGGAGGTCAATTTAAATGGATCTGGCAAATTGCTCAAGGTAGCTATATGCTATATTATATACTATATAATTAAACTTTTATTTGTTTGGTCTTCTATTAGCCCTTAGGTTAAATAGCTAACTTGGGGTTTATTTGCTCTAAAGATTACAGGATGTGCAAGCCCTGGAAAAACAGTTACAATTGTTGTCCGTGGTTCTAACAAATTGGTGATTGAAGAAGCTGAGCGCTCCATTCACGATGCCCTGTGTGTGATTCGCTGTTTAGTGAAAAAGCGGTAAGTAAACTAAATACACTTGATAGTTACAACTTCAGTACTTTTTAGTGTTTTTCTGAAATCTTTCTACTAAAGATTTCCTAGTAGAATGCTGATCAGAGGGGTTGGGGGCCTTTTGAATGTGGAATAATAATTCAAATTTTTATGGAATCCAGGTCTCTACAGCAACTATCATCCTGAACTAATTTAAACTAAAACTATCCCTTGAAGGGATCTTTAAACCAAACAGTAGTTTAACTTAATTAGCAAAGATTGACTCTCCTGCAAAATGTGCTCTTTTAAAAAATTGTTCCTATGGGATCAAAGTAGCCATAGCAACTCAAAAGTTTAGCTGAGGTTCGGGACATTGAGTTTGTTAATGGTAAGATAATTATGGAAAAGATTATAATGGGAAAGGAAAGATAGCAAGAATAGTTGTACAGCTTGAATAATTATAATGTAACTCAAGTGGTATATAAAATTATTAAATCCATGTGTTTTGTTGGACACGATAAACTAAAATGTATGTTTGTACTTTTCAGAGCTCTCATCGCAGGGGGTGGGGCTCCAGAAATAGAGTTGGCCTTACGTCTCACTGAATATTCAAGGACTCTGAGTGGCATGGAGTCCTACTGCATCCGTGCTTTTGCAGATGCTATGGAAGTCATTCCTTCCACACTAGCTGAAAACGCAGGGCTGAATCCTATTTCTACGGTAACAGAACTAAGAAACCGCCATGCTCAAGGAGAAAAAACTGCAGGCATAAATGTTCGAAAGGTAATAATTTAATACTAAGTACAAGAATATTGAAACCAATCATTTATTGAAAGAAACATTTTGTAATTAAAAGGAGCATAATCTTGATTTTTAAATAGGAGACCCCTGCAGGTGATTTCATGTCAGAGCAGGAATGATATCCTTATAGGGCCATCATGAGCATTAAATGTGGTATTAATTAGAAATCACATCTTAAAATCATTGTGTAGTTTGTGAGTTTACACACTAGACAGTATAATCTCACTTTTGTTATTAATGATCTCTTGAGGCGACATACATGATTCAAGAATCAAAGGGACAGTCGTAAGATACCGTATATACTCGTGTATAAGCCGAGGTTTTCAGCAACTTTTTTATTTTTAATAAATCATTTTACTGGGAGCTTGTACAACTCTTATCACAATCCACACATACATCCGTTGTGTCAAACACTTTGGTACATTTGTTTCCCTCATCATTCTCAAAACATTAGCTTTCTACTTGAGCCTTGTTATCAGCTCCTCATTTTTCCCCTCCCTTCCCGCTTCCCCCTCCCTTGAACCATTGATAATTTATGAATTATCATTTTTTCATATTTTATACCGTCCAATGTCTCACTTCACCCACTTCTCTGCTGTCCGTCCCCCAGGGAGGAGGTTATATGTCCCCCTTTTCCCTTCCCTCCACCTCCTGGTATTGCCACTGTCACCACTGGTCCTGAAGGGATCATCTGTCCTGGATTCCCTGTGCTTCCAGTTCCTATCTGTACCTGTGTACATCCTCCGGTCCAGCTGGATTTGTAAGGTAGAATTGGGATCATGATAGTAAAGGGGGAGGAAACATTCAAGAACTAGAGGAAAATTGTATGTTTCATCATTGCTACACTGCACCCTGATTGGCTTATCTCCTTCCCGCAGCCCTTCTGCAAGGGGATATCCAATTGTCCACAGATGGGCCCTAGGTCCCCACTCTGCACTTCCCCTCATTCACAAGTCACATTTTTTAATGCAGTTTTTGTGGTAAATTTAGGTGCCTCAGCTGATATTCGGGTTGGCTTATTCTGGAGTATATACGGTAATTTTTGCAAGTTGCAGACCTCCGAAGGGGGAGGCATTGCCTCATCGGGAAAGCTTTGTGACATGGAACGGTGGCTGGTAGGGCATGAGGACAGCAGATGGGGAGGCAGTTTGCAGCTGAGAGGGTCTGGAAGTTATTCAGCTCGTCTGGAGCAGAAATTACATGTTAATCATTGGTGGACTTCCAGATAAAAGATCCTTCTCCCAGTAGTTAAGAACCACTACGGTGATGAGTATTTCTGTGAGACAGGATTCTGTGAGATATTCCTAGAGACAGGAATGCCTGCCTGCCTGACAGGGGACATGGGTAGTGGCAAAAGGAATACAAAAGTGGAGAATGGGAAAGAAGAGTAGATGAAACATTGGTCAAGCTCGGAATTAGGATTCTGACATAATTTAAACGCTAAAGATCTACTAGGATCATTACATGATTTTGATTTGGAATTGGGGTTGGAGGGGAATCCACTAATATTTTGCAAATTTTAGGTGAAATACAACATAAAAATGCACAGAAGAGCTTAGAAGAATATCAATTATAGAGTAACTAGACTAAGGGAAAAGTAGGTTTGAAAGATATTCAGGTGTATACTAGGGACAATCTTGTTAATAGTACAAACACTAAGAGCAGTTTGTGTTTCTTCAGGGTGGAATTTCCAACATTTTGGAGGAGCTGGTTGTCCAGCCTCTGTTGGTGTCTGTCAGTGCTCTAACCCTAGCAACTGAAACGGTCCGGAGCATTCTGAAGATTGATGATGTGGTGAGTACCATGCTTCTCTATAAGGTCAAATAGGCTCCTTTTTTTGTTGTTGTTATTATTAATCATTTTATTGGGAGCTCATACAACTTCTATTACAATCTATACATATATCCATTATGTCAAGCACATTTGTGCATTCGTTGCCCTCATCATCCTCAAAACATTTTCTACTTGAGTCAACCTCAGTATCAGCTCCTCTTCGCTGTTTTTTAATGTTAGTTTGCTAATCACGGGGTAACAGTTCTTTTGTGTTTAATGTGTAAACGCAGGTGGTGTGGATTGCTGTTGCACTGTTTTCATGGAAGTAACACGGGTTTCTGCCTCCTAGGTGAACACGCGATGATCTGGCTGGCACGCGCTGAGCAGCACCGCCGGCCGCTGCGGACTGCAGCTGGAGAGGAGGAGCGGCTCCTTGCTGCTTTTGTTTGAAAGAGTTGCTCTTTGAATTCCTGGCCTTGGGCTTCCAGTTGGCATTTGTTTAAAATTGTACTGACACAGTTTAATGAAAATATTAAATATCTGTTTGCAAAAGTTAATTTATTGCCCCTTCCAATATTTTTATTTCTGATACTCTTGAAAACCTAAACAAGATTGCAGAAAAACAAAACAAGTTCACTTATCCATGTTGGCTTTCTTTAGGGATTAATCTGGAGGGTTTTCCTTGCTTTACCCTCTCCACAGGCAATTCTATTTCCATTGGTGGGAGTTTTTTAAACAGAACTTACTTATGAAAAAAAAAAAATGAACACAGTATGCTCATCACATGCTCGCCTCACTTATTTTTTTTAATGTCACTGCCCTGATCTAAGCACTGTTATAAACCGTGTAGCTATCTTTCTGGTCTCTGCCCTCAGTTTGTTGTTGTTAGCTGTTGGCAAATCAACCCCAATTTATGGTGACTCCATCATGTCAGGGATTGTGATCCCCATAGAATTTTTGGATCACAAGGAAACCCTATGGTTTTTTGTTTTTTTTCTTTTTTAACATTTTATTAGGGGCTCATACAACTGTTATCCCAATCCATACACACATCAATTGTGTAAAGCGCATTTGTACATCGTTTCTCAAAACATTTTCTCTCCATTTAAACCCCCGACATTAGGTTTTTATTTTTATTTTTTTTAAGTAAGTCACAGCCCATTGTAAAACCAGGACACCACAGAAACCAGCGAATGTTAAGAAACAGACTTAAAGTGATGAAAATGTTAATGCAGAGCCAACTGAAAGTATGATGTGTCTATAGCCCTGGGGTTGTGAATGACGCAACAGATTGAGAATTCCTTCAGTATTAGAAAAGTAGTCGCATATTAATGAGCAAGTACGGCCTTCACATACTGTCGTCTTGTTCATTGTTGTTGTTAAGGTGCCATTGGTTTGGTTCCGGCCCATAGCGACCCTGTGCACAAGAGAGCGAACACTGCCGGGTCCTGCGCCTTCCTCACAATGGTTCCTAGGCTTCAGCCCGCTGTTGCAGCCCCTGTGTCAATCCCTCTCGTTCGCTGCTCCTCCACTTTAACAAGCATGATGTCCTTCTCTCGGGACTGACCTCTCCTGACCACATGCACCGCGCAGCCGAGAAAATGAATGTCCTCTCAGACGGTGACAATCGTGTGTTGGGGGGGGGGGGGGGGGCGCGAGCAGGAAGGTTGTGAATAGAAAGCTTACTATTACTAAACTGGTGGCTGAGCCTCTGCCAGCCCGCCATTCTTAAACTCGACCTCTTACAACTTCGTGGTGCTCGTCGTGCAGAGTTAGGACGCACTGTTGGTAAGAAGAGGGGTAGCGTGTAATCACTGCAGGAATCACGCCTTCAAGCTGCGAAAGTGCTGTTCACACTACCGCACAGTCACTCAGTCGGGGCTGCTCCAGGCTCCACCCATCGCTAGGCGTTTATTGGTTACGTCACCTCACGTGAGTGGGCCAGCTAGCGGCGTCCTTCTGCTTGGTCCATGCTCTGATTGGTCCATGACCAGTTGGTCAATCTGATTGGTCCATGGCCGCTCTCCGATCAATCGGAATAGAATTTAGCGCCCCGGTTCGGATTCTCTGGCTCCCGGAAGGCCTCGATAGAGAGCGTGATGTGCACACCTTGCTCCGGTTCTGGAAATCACCCACCGCCGCCCACCCCTGCCTTTCGCCGCCGCCCTCTCCACCCGATTCTCTTCCGCCGCCCACCCCACCCGCCCCAGACACAGTGAGGATGGCGCGGACCAGGCAGCTCACAACACACGCGGTCAGCCAATCAAAACGCGCTCTTCTGGAGATGGGTTGCCTGACGGAGGAAAAGAGCTAACCTGCCCCTCCCACCGACCTGCTAATCCACTGGAGAGAATGAGGACAGTCGGGCCGCTAAGCGGGACTCGGCAGCGTGCGGGTGGTTTGGATGACTTTTGGCCCCTCGCGGCCCCTGTAGCGTCCCTGGTTACCGCGCCCCTTGTAACCGCTGCCCAAGCCAGGTGGCCTGAGACCAGTGGCACCGGCTGAGCCGCCCCGGGCCGGCGCGGGCGCTGAGCCCCAGATGGCGCGGTGATGGACGCCTCGCACCGAGAGGCGAAGCTGGTGGCCTCCAGCCACCAAATCCCGGTCCATCCCACCACCGGAGCCCGGGTCGCCCAATACGAACGCAAAGATCTCCTGGAGGCCCTGGCGGCGGCGGCGGCGCAGGTGGCCTTGGAGGAAGCAAAGGAGGAAATGCAGCCGCGGTCGGCGCGGGCGTCGGTAATGCAGGGCGGGACGTGGCTTGGGCTGGCTAGGGTCCTTGTCCCGCACAGGGGACAGGCTCAGAATGGCGGTGCCTTGCAGATTCGCCCGGAAGGTGGTTCTCTGGCCAGTGAACCTGACCACCACCGGACCTTCTCTCTGTCTCCACGAAAAGGACCCTAAACCGGGACGTCCAAAGTCTCAATTTTCACTAGAGATTTTTGTAAAAATGTCTTGGAGAGCCTATACAGTATTTCTAGAGTATACAAAGTACAGAACTTCTTATGCTCAGAATTTCTTGGGAATGTATCGTTTCTTAGCAAAACAAAACCAGATTGAAAACTGATCGACCCCAGTACTTTGATGACTCCTACAAACCCGGGAATCAATTGGGTGTGTTTGGTGGGTCTTCAACACAAATCTTAAAGAGGCAGGAATTTAGTAGCTAGACCAAACGGAAGTCAATTACTTGAGGGACCGATACCTCCTAATGAGCCGTCTGGTAGAACAACTTTTTCACTGATTCCATTTCCAGTGTCAAATGTGCCCAGAACACTTGTCTGTCAGGTGGAAGTCAGAGTCTGCCATCTTAGAACAGCGGTTCTCAACCTTCCTCATGTCTCCATCCTTGAAGACAGTTCCTCATGTGGTGGTGACCCCCAACCATAAAATTATTTTCATTGCTACTTCATCACTGTAATGTTGCTACTGTTATGAATCGCAATGTAAACATCTGATATGCAGGATGTATTTTCATTGTTACAAATTGAACATAATTAAACAATTAAAGCATAGTGATTAATCACAAAACAATATGTAATTATATATTGTGCAATATTTATGTGTTTTCAGATGGTCTTAGGCGACCCTGGTGAAAGGGTCGTTCAACCCCCAAAAAGGTCGAGAGCCACAGGTTGAGAACCGCTGCCTTAAAAGATGGCAACCTTGGATTCAAACCAGCCATGTGCAGAGAGAAAACTCCTCACCACTAGTGTACTTTTCTTTATACCCTATGTCCCAAACCGCTCAAACCCAAAACATTTTGGTCCAGGAATCACAGGATACTTGGAATTTTGAATCTCTTTCATTCACACTATGGGAGCCCTGGTGCCGCAGGGTTTAAGCATTGCGCTTCCTTGGCAAGGCCAGCAGTCTCAAAACCACCAGCCACTCCTGAAGAGAAAGACAAGGCTTTCTACTCTGGTGAAGAGTTACAGTCTTGGAAACCTGAGGTGCAGGTCTACCCTGTCCTGTAGGGTTGCTATGAATCAGAATTGACTCTGAGCTGAATTTACACCGCACCTGTTAATGAGCACACCAGTAGTACTTTTTAATGGTCAATATTTCACCAATCGACATAAACCACTTGACACTGTCCAGAATAAGACAGAATGAGACCCAGCATAGTACAGGATGAGAAACCTAGGACCAGTTTTGCTCGGATGCAGCTTCCCCTCAAAGCAAGTTGCCGCAGGCAACAAAGGAAGTAAGGAGACAGAAGAGGCAGACCGAATGGAGGGAAAGGACTTGAAGTTGTGAGTAGGATCCCGACCCGTTCTCTTGCTTGGAGATGCTAACCCTTAACTTCCTTAAGTCTCGGTTTTCTTATCTGTAAAACTAGTAATTCCCTCTCCTGTCACAGGCTGGGAACCAAGTGAGAGCATGTGTTGTGTTTTATGTAAATTGGTCATTCTAATAGCAGGGTCATTTCATCGACCCACCCAGAGATTAAACTCTCCTCTGGCTTTCTTCGGTGGACAATTAGTCATTCCTGTCGCCGCGGTGGTGGCTGCAGCCGTGAACGCAGGCTTAGCAACAGTTGTGAGGATGGTGCAGGGCTGAGCAGTGTTTGTCCTGTCGGACATGGGGGTGGGGAGTGCAAATGACTCCAGGACACCTAGCAACAGCAACACAGTGGCAGTTATAGAGAGCCCTTTTAAACTACAAAAAAAAAAAAAAAGTTTGTTTACTTTTTATTGTGAGTTAGGGGGAGGTTTACAGAGCACATCCTAGTTTCACATTCAACAACTCATACCCTTTCTGATGGACACGTCATTGTGAGCCCCTCCACGTACCATCGCTTCTCCCCCTTCTTCCCTGACTCTTCCTTCCCTTGGTGAGCATTTATTAAGTGCTAGTCACTGACTAGGATCCCTGATGGCAGAGAGGTTACGAGTTGGGCTGCGAATTGCAAGGTCAGCAGTTCGAAACCACCAGCTGCTCTACAGAAGAAAGACAGGACTTCCTACTCCCTTTAAGAGTGACAGTGTCTGACGCTGAAGGCGCAGTTCTGCCCTGTCCTTTGACTCGCTCTGAGTGGGCGTCGACTCGATGCCAGTGCGTCTGGATTGGTTTGGCTGAGTGCCTGCCTAAGGAGCGCTAGTGGTGCCGTGTCTGAGTTCTTGACTGGTGACCCCCGCTTGGCAGTTCGGACCCACTGGCTGCTCTGCAGAAGGGAAAGGTGGCGTCCGCGGGAAGATTGCATGGGCTTTTGTCACTGACTCTTCAACAGTGGGCGAAACAGACATCGTTCACGTTCTCGTGGAGCTTCTGGTTCTCAGCTTCTCCAGGCCAGCTGTCATATGCCCCTGAGTTGGCTTGACTCACAGTCACCATCCTGTGTGACAGAGTAGACCTGCCCCATGGCGTTTCCTAGACTGTAAGCTTTTTTTTTTTAACTACAAAAGCATAGAAATCCTTATTAAACAAAAATATCGAATTGTTTACCCAATGTTTGAATACCGCTTCAATGTATTTTCAATGGCCTCCTATGCATGGAAAAGCTGGACCCTGACTCAGGAGGGCCAGAAGGACTGATAGCTTCGAGTTAGGACATGCTGGCGAAGAGTGTTGACGGCACCTTGGGCTGCCAGGACAACAACCAGATCCATCTGTCTTGGAAGACGTAGGCTGTATCTCTATGGGAGTAGATCGTAGGCTGAAATCTCTATGGGAGCAGATCATAGGCTGTAATCTCTATGGGAGCAGATCATAAGCTGTAATCTCTATGAGAGCAGATCGTAGACTGTAATCTCTATGGGAGCAGATCGCCAGGTCTTTTCTCTTGTGGAGCCTCTGGTCTAGTGGGTTTGGAACATCCAGCTTTTGGGTTAACAGCGGTGGATAATGAACAACGACTAGTCAAATGATTATAAGACAGGAAATGTAAATGAAATGTACCAGGGTACCATGATTTTAAAAAGAAATAAGAGGGATCTACTTAAATGAGCTGGTAACCTGTAAGCGGATGCCTGATGGATGCAAAGAAGAGCCATTTGAAGAGGTGGTTAGGAAAAGGCTTCCAGGCCAAAGGAACAGTGTATACAAAGCCCCGAAGGTGCGTAAAGAGAGTAAGGATCTGAAAGAAATCCAGCAGGGAAAGAGGAGCGTGGGAAGTGAGGTTGGAGAGCAGCTCATTCAGGGCCGGTAGACCAAGGTGAGGGCTTATAGAAAAGATGGCTCTGGTGGCTTTGTTGTGACCAAGTAGAAGTAAGATGATTGGTTAGGAAGTTGTAACAGTAATTTAGGTGCGAGAGGACAAGGCAAGAAGTGGACAGACTTCTCTAGCACGGGCAGGATGTGTTGTTGGATTAGATGTGAGCTCCGAGGAAGAAGGAGTCCTAGAATTCCTTCTAGCCCAGTGGTTCTCAACCTTCCTAATGCCGCGACCCTTTAATACCGCTCCTCATGTGGTGGTGACCCCCCAACCAGAACATTATTTTCGTTGCTACTTCCTAACTGTCATTTTACTACTGTGATGAATCGGGCGACCCCTGTGAGAGGGTCGTTCGACCCACCCCCCAAAGGGGACGAGACCCACAGGTTGAGAACCACTGTCTAGTCCCAGGTTTTGGTTTGAGCAGGTGATGCCACTTATTGAGTTGGGGATGACGGGAAGGGGAAAGCAGGCACGAGTGAGGAGAGCATCACGGCATTGTTTGGGACATGCTAAGCTTAAGATGCCTCCTGTGTAATACTAAGTGGAAACGCATAGCAGAGTCATGTGGCAGCTGGGCTGGACATTTCTATGTGGGGGTTTTCAGCATTTTTAAAATGATACCTGCTGTTTCTTGTTCTGCAGCTTGCTTCCCGCCCCTGCTAATCTTGGTGGTTCAGCCATGTTAGTGTATGTTAACTCTGCCTTGGTTCCTCACAATGTCTGTTCAAGGCAAAAAAAAAAAAAGTCTTTATAAAAATTCCAGAGTTGTAGATAAAACTAGACAGATTACAACACAAATAATTATTTTTCTGTGTTGGCTATAATAAAGCAGCTGGTGTTGAGAGGATTCAGCATCTAAGTGGGTCAAGCCAATCTAGGGAAGATCATCCTCTCTCCCGGGCACCTTTACAACATTCCACAACCAGCCCAGCAATTGGAGGGGAAAGGTGCTACTTTAGCCTCTCCGAAAATGTCCTTGCCCAGTGTTACTGGGTATCTCACAGCTGTGGAGTCCAGTCGGACTCAGCAATGCTATAGGACAGGGTAGAATTGCCCTTGTCGGCTTCCAAGCCTGGGAATCTTCACGGGTGTAGAAAGCCTCACTTTTCTCTTGTGGAGCAGCTGTCGGTTTCGAACTGCTGACCTTGTGGTTAGCAGCCCCACATGTAACTACTATACCTCCAGGGCTCCCTTGTTACTGGGCATAGTAAATGTTATTCTTCTGTATGGAGACAACTGAAAATGAAATTGGAACTGGAAGTCGCTTGTTTGCTATTCATCTGTTTTAGGTAAACCACCAATGAGATCAGTTTATCTGAAATGTTCACGCTTGTGTTGACAGCATTAAGCTGAAAATGGATTCGATACAATGCGAGAGTCAGTGCATATCCTGTAGTCCACCGACCACTGCTCTGAGTCCTCTCCTGGCTCTCCAAAAGGCGGGGCACCAGCTCTAGGGGGAAGTGAGCACTCTCTCCTCTTCAGGGCAAGTCTGTATCTCGGCTTTGCTAGCCCGAGAGTTCCCCCATTCCTCGATGCTTCACTCTCCAGATCCTTCCATTAGGAACAACATTCTTTT